AGTTGGTTGTTTGCATTTTATTTCTTTTGCAAGTTTGAATTTATTTTAATTCGATTTTATTCGACACTATTTCTTTTGGGTTTGAATTTATTTGAACACTGAATTTAATCACTTACTACTTTTATTGGGTTTTGAATAAGGGCCTTAATGGTTCCAAGTTGTATGACTTAATTTGGTTTCATTCGTTGGTTTTGAAACTTATTTATAACTGATTTAGTTTTTCCGCTGCTATTTTCTGATAAAGCCTTAACATTTGAACACGTGGCGGTAGCACGCCAGTAATTCTCTTGAATATTGTTCAGGGTCCTCACAAGTTTAAAGAGAGAATTATTGGGGTGTTACAAAGTGGTATCTGGGAGCTTAGGTTCGATTTAATTACCACTAAAGTTACTTTAAAAGTTTTTGGGCGCCTAACGTTTTAAATCATATGATTTTGGATTTTATGACGTGATTTAAGGTTAAACTTTAATTTCAAAAAAGTTATTTTATTTTAATTAAAATAATTCGGCAGTTTAAATAAAATATATGTATTTTTATAAATTACTATGTTATTAATTATTTTTGAAATTAGTTGAATCTGCGTACTTATTTTATTCTTTGAACCTTAGTATTATTTATTTTATTTTATGTGTGAGATTTGGGTAGTCTTAAGAAGGGCATATAGGACAGATGATTTTTTTCTATGTGCATTATAATTTAATTCTTGGTGCCATTTATTTTGAATGTAGTTATTATGCAAGTTATATTTAATTGTATATGTTTTATATAATCATGCAAATTTGGGTGTTGTGATCACCTAGAATCATGTGTAAGGATTAAAGAATACAATATAGATTAATTTGTGATGATTTGTGCAATGTAATGTGTATGTATGGATGATTATTATATGAAGCATGTAATTATGTGATTATTTGGTTATGCTTATTTAATGATGTTATTTATTATTTATTTGGTGCTTTAGGTTATTGGTAAGATCTATATTTTTATTATTTAATATCTCCTTCAATTTTTGCAACCAATGAGTGTTTATTTGAGAAACCTTATGATCAAATTAGGAATGTACTTGGAGAATTGATGAAATATATATGTATTTGGTGATGATAAACTACGCGAGAAGAGTGTATGAATTTTGCTTTGGTCAAGCCGCATACTTTAAGGAGAGTAGAGACCCTGCTTTTCTGTAGAACTAGGTAGTGAAAGATGAGTTTTTGTTGTTTTGAATTGCCATGAGAATTTGAGGAGCATAACTTTGGTGGACAGAGAATAGGGATACGATTCGTGAGACAATCGATTTTCGTTGGGAGAATTTGGAAACCAAGTTGGAGAGAAGAAAATTTTGAGGAGCCCATGGATTCATAAACATGGAAATATAAATCAGGCATTTTGGGTTAATTAATGTATTAACAATCATTATGGATTTAATGAATCGAGTATTTCCATGAGTACAGTAATTCGATAAATATATGGCTTTATTAATGATATCTTGCTATACTTGAAGAGTGAGGAGAATTATAATAGACATTTGAGGATTCTGTGACATTTTAGGGACGACTTGTAATATGCTCAGTTTTCGAAGTGTGAATCTTTATTAATGAGAGTAAGTTTCATTTTGGGACAAAAAAAAATTCAAGTGGTGAGTAAGTGGTCTACACCTAACAATGTGACCGATATAAGGAGTTTATTGGGATTATATGTTTAAAGAGGGTTGTGAAGGACTTTTGAGGATTGTTGTATATACCTTGATGAAAGAGAGTTAGTTAGAATGGGATGAGAAGTGTAAACAAGCCTTTTAACTCTTAAAGAACATTTAATCGTTGCACTTGTTTTAGTCTTGCCTAATGGGAGTGGTGGACTTGAAGTTTTTACTTAATGGATGTGTGTTGCAACAAAATGGAAAAATGATAATGCTTCTTGCCAAGACAAATCTTATGAGACCAATTACCCTACCATGATCTTGAGATTGCGTATATATTGTTTACATTGGAGATTCATTCGAAATACAGTGTCACCTGTAAGATTTTTACAAATCTTAATATATAGCCTTCGGTTGTTAGCTAAGGAGACTAAAGGGATTATTGAGTGCCTATGAATTGAACAATTCAAATTTGAGGAAATTATAGAATAACAAGTTATGGATAAATTATTGCAGAAAGAAGAAATGAAAAAGAAATGCCTAATGATGTTATTGAGATGAGTTACGGGGGTGTAACTCTTTTCTTTAAGAGGGGTAGAATGCGATGTAATTTCGCGCTTTTTACCTCAATTATGCTATTTATTGCTTGAGTTTGCATTATTTTGCTTATTAATATGCACTATTGTTGTATTTACATGCAATTAAAGTATGTAAACTTTGGCCAAGTACGAGTCTATTAAGCATAAAGTTCAGTTTGTTGAGTGTGCATGTTGAGAATCAATCAATTTACAGCAATATAAAACACAAAAGTTTGAATGGTTTTGGAAAATTTATGGCTTTTGGGTTAAGTTTCGAGGGCGAAACTTCTTTTAAGAGAGGTAGATTGTAATCCCCCGTATTTTTAAATATTTTATAAATGAAAATTTATTTTATTTATAATATTTATTTGTTATTTTTCATAATTTAATTTCAAAAGTTTCAAATTATTAATCTGGGTTGAAAATTATTTGAACAAATTATTTAATGCACCTTTATTCTACAATTTATGTCGAATCACACAAGCCTAACCCATTTGTTTACTTAATCGACCCATTATTTTTATGAGGCCCAATCTTTCTTTTTACCCTACAATAATTCTCTCCTATAAATACCCCGTGAATCTCCAAAAATTTCCCACACAAAAAGGTTAGTCTTATTTTCATCCTCCTTTGTTTCATTATTTTGCTTAATGTTAATTTAATTGTTTTGGGTTTTGATTTTAGTATAAAGATTTCCCACACAAAAATCCACGTTTTTTGAGAAATTTGGGATGTTTCGAGACCCGGTGTCGAAAAGTTTTGAGATTTTAGGGGATACATTTTGGGGTCATATAATGTCGTTTGGAACCATATATGATAATTATATGTTGTCATAAATATTCGTTGTAGGCTTGAGTTAATTAAATCGGTGCAAGTTGTAAAACGATAAATTGGCCGTTAAAGGCAAAAGGATGGTTCCACCCACCCAATTGGACTTCTGAAGGGTATTAGGGACCATGGTAAAAATTTCGACAATTTTTATTTCCGAACGAATTAAAGCAAAAAAATTGCAAAATTAAAGGCTAATATTCACGTTTTTTGAGAAACTTTGGAGGTTTCGGGGCCTGATGTCAAAAAACTTTTAGATTTTAAGGGATAGATTTCGGGGTCATATAATGCCATTTGGAACAATATATGATCATTATATGTTGTCATAAATGTTCGTGGTAGGCTTGAGTTAATGAAATCGACGCTAGTTGTAAACCGATAAATTGGTCGTTTAAAGGAAAAATGGATTGTTCCACCAACCCAATTGGACTCCCGATGGGTATTAGAGACCAACATTTTTCCAATTTTAATTTCCAGACGAAAAAAGTAAATCAATTAAAAAATTGAAAGCTAGCTATATCCATGCTTTTTGAGATTTTTTGTAGTCTTCGGGCCTGGTGTCGAAAAGTTTTGAAAGTCTAGGGAATACTTATCGAGTTTATATAATGTCATTTGGAACCATATATGATCATTATTTGTTGTCATAAATGTTCGTGGTAGGCTTGAGTTAATGAAATTAATGCTAGTTGTAAACCGGTAAATTGGTCGTTTAAAGGCAAATTGGATAGTTCAACCCACCCAATTGGATTCACGGAGGGTATTACGGACCATGGTAAACATTTCGGCGATTTTTTTTCCGGACGAAAATAAATCTAAAAATTCCAAAATTTAAGGCTAATATCCACTTTTTTTTAGATAGTTTGAAGGTTTCCGGGTTCGGTGTCAAAAAGCCTTGAGATTTTAGGAGATACATCTCGGGGTCATATAATGTCGTTTGGAACCATATATGATCATTATATGTTGTCATAAATGTTCGTAATAGGCTTGAGTTAAGAAATCGGTGCAAGTTGTAAAGCGGTATATTGTGTTCCATGAATAAAAATACACATCTGCAGGTCAAAGAGCCCTATCGTTCCCCCCAGGCAACCCAACGTTAATATCATTTCTTGCAAAAATCCCAAACCGAAAACAACTATCACTTAGGACATCACGAACAACATTATACCGATGTTGAATGCCGATGTTGTTATTGATATTGTAGTTATTATTGTTATTGTTTTGGGTGTACTCCAATGAGAATATTCTAATCACTAAATGCACTGTTGGAGTCTCGGGCTGCATGCTGGGATCTCGGGCTGAACAATTGGAGCCTCTGTTTGCACCACTGGAGGACCAGCAAGAGAGAGAATGTAAAGTGCCCCCGGGAGTGGTTTTGAGGAACCCCGTGAAGCGGGATCGATTTTTTTAAGAGCCAGGTTTATTAGTCAAATGACTCGGAGGGTGTCATTCCACATAACTAACCCCCAAGAGATGGAGCGTTGTAGAGATGGCGGTTCTAAGACTTTAAGGAGACATTGATTTTTGGCATGATGCATCTTTTCCTTCTTGTTAGATTGCTTCGGAATGAAAAATCTGGCTACCAAGATAAATATCTTGGTTGTTCTAGTTTAAAAAATCTTGACTTTTCAGGCTGAAAATATCGATCGCCTTACTGAAAAATCTTCCTTCTTCTGACCGAAAGCTTTGATCGCCCCGCTGAAAATTCTGATGCACTACAAAAATTCTAAATTTTCTTCGAAAGAAGCTTACCACCTCCTTGAAAATTCTTATTTTTCTGTTGAAATTGTTGATTGCTCTGTTTGAAATTTGTGATTATATTTAATGTTTTAATTTGAACGTTGAATTTTCTACAAGTCTTGAATTTTCTGCTAAAAATCTCTGACATTTTTGCTGAAATGTTTAACTGCTCCAGCAAGAATTCAGAATTATTAATTCGTCCATCCTCCCATATATAATAATAATAATAATAATAATAATAATAATAATAATAATAAAACCTCCATTAAATGCATATGTAACTTTGAAGTATTATTTATGAGATATTAAATATTTTAAAATTGCACATAATATTTAACAGATATAGTAATAATAATTACAATACAAATTTCAACATGAACTTATGTTACTACACATCCATAACCTTTGAAGGTGCACCCCTGCCCTATTGCCAAATCTGCAAAGTTTACAATTAACTGACACATTAATTAATTAATACGAGCACTAAATTTTAGTTAGCAATTCAATAACGAGTAACTGATTAAGGAAGAGATTAAGTATCATTACTAGATGCCATGAATATAAGTAGTAACCCAAATATAAATAGCTTCATATATTTGAGGGACACCATTCTAATAATGGATCGATCTATTTTGGATTTAAAATTTTGTTTGAGTGATTAGCTTACCATAAACTTCTATTCTATTTATAATATCTTTTCTAATGAAACGTGAGCTTACGTATATATCAACAAAAACTTTTGTATATATCCGGTTTACACTAATATTAGTGTACATCGAGTAGTATAAGGGTAACTTTTAGCTAATTTTAGGGTAACTTTTTGTTTTTTTTTGGGTAACTTTAAACATAATACAATTTTTATATAAATCAACAACAAGAAAAGTTTTATAAAGGTAATTTAATTACATTCAATCACTAATAATTGATTTTTAGTCATTTAAAATGTGATTCTTTACTAATAAAGCGTAGATAATTTTTATTTAAATTAAGCTACTTTAACGCATATTGGGGTAACTTTTATTCATTTTAGGGGTAACTTTTAATCACTTTAGGTTATTTTTATAATGGATGTACAATAATTATTGTACACCCGATTTTTTTAAGAGTTTGTGATATATCAATTGTACAACAGTACAAGACACAATTAAAGAAAGCTGCTAATTAAACTTCGATTGGTTTTATTAAATTGCGAGTATCATATATACACGCAAGATGAAGCTAGACTGACGTATTAAACCTCATCTTATTAGCGACGCCGTCTTATTTAAACGTCTTAGGCAGTTGGCACACTGTATTTTGGAAAATGAATGTTCTGCCGTCATTTCCTTTTCAATTCTCAACATTACCTCAAGTCAAAAACGAAAAACTCCTCTTTCAAAAACACACACACACACAAAAAAGTTCATATGAGATACTCGAGTATATTATACTCCCTCCTTCCCTTTTAGTTTGTCACTTTTAAAGGAAAATTACGAGAATTAAGGATGAAAATGTCAAGTAATTGAAAGAATATGAAAACGTAAAATTTTCAATTAATAAACTACTAAAGTGAATAGAAAAGAGACATTTTCAATTATAAAATAATTAAAATATATGGGAAAAATTAATGGATAGATTTAAGAGTGTAAAACATTACATTAGTCCAAAGTTAGACACAATTTTTATGGCAAACTAGGTTAGGTCACGTGCCATGCACGGTTATTTTTAATAATTGTTTCATATTAATACTACATTTAGTTATAAAATAAAAATTTGTTTAAAATATTATGCTTAATTTATGAAAGAGTCTATTAGCTAGTATATTCTCTTTAAAACTACTTTTGCCTACACATACCTCTATGTGCTCCCGGGGGTATGTAAAAGGTGATAATTAGCCACTGCCCATTGGCAAGACATGATTTTAAAAATATGCATTTGTTAATATGCATATATTTTTGTATATATTTGATTTCACTAAATGAATTTATTAAAACGTAGGACATTAAAAATTATGTTAATAATTTTTTTTTCTTTTCTTTTTTGCTTAAATTTAAAGTTGTTATTTTTTTTTTGGAAGGATAAATCAAATCTTTTATTTTAAGTAATTTTTTAATATTTGATATTCGAATTACTTTCTTGGAGCTTTTAATATATAATTAAATTAAAATGAAAATAAAAATAGAATCCTTCTAGTAATATTTGACACAAATTCTATAAAAAAAATCTATTTTTTTTATATAGTTGATAATATATTATGGAAATATACATCAAATCTTTTAATTGTGTATAAATTTGTTATCTTTTATTTATGTATTGTATAAGATTTGTTTCCAAAATATTTTTTTAATAAAAAAAAAAACTAAGGACACACCAGAAAATGACACGTGTCATTGTTGGTGTGTCTTTTAGTATATAGTTATTGATTGATGTTAGAGTAAAATAGGAAGATGACTTAATAAGGACAAAAAAAGAAAAAAAAAAAAAGAGGATATAAAAGCCTTTTTATATATCTTAATAATTATGAAGATGTGAAATATGACAAACATATAAAGGCACCTAAAATGATACTGCCTCCGATTTTTTTTTTTTGTCGCAACTTTGTAATATTTTATATTTCACAAATAATACCCAAAATTGCAACAAAAAAATTTGAAGGTAGTACATTATAACATTGGGGGTACACAAAATTAAATATACTTCCACCGTGTTAATTGCTACACGGAAAAGGCACACTAAATGCAGAGGCCATTAACTAGGAGAGAGAGAGAGAGAGAAAAGTATAGAGCGATGACGGGAGGGATTGAAATTACGGACGGAGTAGTAAATAATTATGAGTACTCCATAGTAAATACTACCTCTGTTTTTATTTAGTTTACACGTTTTGACTTTAGCAATATTCACACATCTCCCTTTGACCGTGTTTTGTGCTTCATATGTAATGAAAAATATAGTCATGTGAGATCTTATTAGATTCGTCACGTTATATACTTTCAAAATATCAACTTTTCAAAATTTTTGCTTATCGATAATTAAGATATTAATGATTGAATAAGTGCATTGACAAATGTTACTAAAGAAACGTGTCAACTAAAAAGAAACGGAGGAAGTAACACATAATAATTAATACAAAATGAATGTAGGAGCAAATGCAATCGTTAATAAAAATCAGATGACGTAAACGAATGTTATAAAAAAAAAAAACTCTTATCACTTTAAAATCAATCATGATATGGAAAAAGTGAAATTGATGATCACATAATCCCTTTTAAATTTTTGGAAAATGTTATACATACCTAAACCTGGGCACGGGCCGGGTTGGCCCGCGTGCCGCCCGGCACGGCCCGCCGTTCGGCACAGCCCGAATTCAAGCACGGCACGACACGAAGTTCAACTCCCGTGCCACGGGCCGTGCCACGGACAGGGTTGAGAATTCCCAGGCACGGCCCGGCACGAGCACGGGCATGGCCCGCCGTGCTGGCCTGTCGTGCCGGCCCGCAGGCACGGCCCGCGGGCCAACGGTAATGTTACCGTTTATTCTAGCTCCTTAATAAGCCAAAAAAACGGCTAAAAACGGCTAGTTTTTTGCCAATTTGCTCCCCAAAAATTCTATAAATACTCACCTCCATTTCATTCCCAAATCACAAAATCACAATCTCTTCTTCTTATCTCTTATATTCTCTAAATCTCTAATAATCCTTATTTTCTTAAATTCTCTAATTATTCTCTTAAATTCTCTAATTATTTTCCTAATATCGGAAAAAATTAAAAAGTTCGTAATCGTAATTAGTGGAGCGTTGAAGCACGGTTGTAAGATCTAAACTAATCTTAAATTTATTATTGTTTTATTGTTATTATTAGAATAATCTTGTTTAATTACTATTGTTGTTAATTGTTATTGTTGTTGTTATAATTGTTGTTATTAATTATTATTATTGTTACAATTGTTGTTATTATTTATTTTTGTTGTTATTGTTATTGTTATAGTTGTTGTTATTAATATTATTGATATTTTTATTGTTAAAATTGTTGTTATTAATTATTATTATTATAGTTAACCACTTTTTATTAAAAAATTAATTGTTAATTATGGCATCGAACAACCCATCATCTAGGTCTAGGGGGAAAGGCCGACTTATCCGTAGTAGTAGTTCTAGGGAACCACCAAATACAACGAGCCCCCAAATTACGAGTCAAACCAATGACCCCATTTACTTCCCCCCGGGCTATGAGCCATTTACTTGCCATTGGGTAGATGATCAATGGATGTTACAAAAAAGAATAATACATTTCAAAATGCTGGAATACCCACACACCGGCATTAACATTGCTCGCCATTTAATGCAAGCAATAGACGAATACAACCTTCGAGATAAAATGATGTCTATGACTTTTGATAATGCAACCTCTATGACATACACAACTAATCTTATCAAACAAAACTTAACCGATGTACTATTAGACGGTGAAGTTCTTCATACTAGATGTGTTTGCCATGTACTTAACTTATGTGTACAGGATGGAGTACGGGCAATTGGCCCATACTACAGCAAAATCAGAGATGCTATTATGTCTATTAATAGCTCTAACATGAGATACCAAGAATGGAAGAGTTTTCTAAAACAACAAAAGATAAGGGTAATAAAAATTAGAACCGATTGCCCAACTAGGTGGAATTCCACCTATGACATGTTAACAAAGGCAATTGAGTACAAGGGCCCGTTAACATTATTTTACAACCAAAAATTTCCACAAAATGCTTTGTATGATGATGATTGGAATAACTGTGAAAGATATATGCAATTTTTACAGTTATTATATAACATGACGTATTGTTTTTCTACTGTTTACAATCCTTGTGCTCAAAACTTTCTTTCTAATGCATGCTTACTCGCCCAACTTTTCGCTGATCATCGCCATCAAAGTGATTATGATCAGTATCTTCCAGCAATGGAAAAAAAGTGGCGTAAATATTATAATGAAAACACATTTATGTTAGTTGACATTTACTTTCAATGCATGTTTCTTGACGATGATGTAGAAAACTATAAGACTAATGTGAAGGATCAGTTTTTTGCTTTATATAGAGTCTATGAAGCCAAATATGGCACCGTTCCTCGCTCAGGGCCTTCCCAACCATCCAAAAACGTAAGTAAGAAGGCCAAACATTTATTTTCACAAGCTACTAACTTGATTTCAAGGTTTTCAGGTGATTCATCAATCAGGAGAACGCAAAGCGACGTCTCGGAGTTGCAGATGTACCTGAGTTACGACTTCACCAAAGGCATGGACGACGATGAGATAAACAGCCTCGACCTCCTTGCATGGTGGAAACAACAAAGCTCGAAGCATCCAACTTTGGCGGCAATGGCACGAGACATTCTTGCTATCCAAGTTTCCTCCGTCGCCTCCGAACGAGCTTTCAGCGCATCCGGAAGGGTTTTAGACGATAGAAGAACAAGTCTAAAACCCGAAACACTAGAAATGTGCGTGTGTTTCAAAGATTGGTTGGATGCGGAAAATCGCTCACAAGACCGTTCTTACGACCACAACGACAACGAAGAAGGAACCTCCGCTTCCGGTTCGGGTTCGGCTAGTTCCCAATCTATGCAACTAGCCGATGACCTTGAAGGCGAAGGCGAAGACGAAGACGAGCAAGAAGAAGGAGAAGAAGAATAGACAATTATTGTATATTGTACGATTTTAAAAATATCAATTTTATCATTTTCCAATTTTTGTTTAATACCATCATTGTATGATTTTTATCATTGTTATCATTGTACAATTTTCTCAACTCAAATAATAATAATATAAAGTACGCATTATTCACGTCCAAAGTCCAATTTGCCTTTTTTCCCCGTTTTGTTACAATTTGTAAATTCATATTAAAATAAAATAAAATTATACCAATTACTAATAAATCATAAACATTAAATTTTAAAGTAATAGTATAAAGTAAATATATAAATATAAATATTGAATATACAAATTATAAAACATAAATATTCAACTTATAATTATAAAATTCATAACTTATATACATTATAAACTTATTAATTTATAATGTTGTCATAAAAAAATAAAAAAAGAAAAAAAAAATTATTTGAAAACTGCACCAGCCCGCAGTCCGGCACGTGGCCGGCACGGCACGAGCCCGCCAGGCACGAGGGTCGTGCCGTGCCGTGGGCTGGCCTGTGAAAATGGTCGGCACGGCACGACACGAAATCTTGGGCCCGCCGGCACGACGGGCACGACACGAACCAGCCCGTGACCCGCGACGGCCCGGCCCGGCACGGTGCCCAGGTTTATACATACCCCTTAGGGCTACATATAAGCATTAAATTTACACTTGAAAATCGTAAAAAGTTAAGAAATCATCAAAATATAAACACTAATAACACTTATTTACGCGTATTTTTGTCACGAATTCCTAATTTTATACATTTTTCAAAAGTATATTTAATGCTTATATATAGCCCTTAGGGCTACATATAACATTACCCTAATTACAAGTACTTTGTATTATAAGTACAAAATACTATTTTATTGTACTCCTTATTATTAATTACAATAATATTTATTTTTACACATTAATTACAATAATTATACTTGTATTAATTATTGTTGTATTATATTATCAATTGAAATTGTTCGGAAGGTCTGAGATACAGAGTAATCAAATCTGAGAGTCAATTGGCCAATTGGGACCCTCTTATGCCAAACCTAATCACTAAAGAGTAAAGATATTCCCATCCTTTATAAATTGATACCTATAAAAATCAAAATCCTCACATCACTCAACTGTCTTCTACAAACTCACAACATACACAATAATCCAAACCTATTCACAAGAAGCAAAAAATGCAAGAAACAAACCAAAAACCCCACGTAGTAGTAATCCCAAGTCCAGGGATGGGCCACCTTATCCCCGTCGTCGAATTCGCCAAGCTCCTCCACCACCACCACCACTTCTCAATCTCGCTTCTCCTCCCATCTTCATCTCCACCCACCACCGCGCAAACCACCTTCCTCTCGGCCTTACCTCCTGCCATCTCCCTTACGTTTCTCCCTCGTGTCGACTCCTCTCTAATACCTTCTAATGTAGCCCATGAAGTCACCATTCATCTGACTCATTTCCATTGTCTTTCCCACGTTCGTTCAGCCCTCTCTTCACTCACCAATGTTGTTGCTCTCGTTACTGATCTTTTTGGTACCGACTACTTTGATGTTGCACGAGAGTTTAACGTCCCGCCTTACATGTACTTCACTACTAATGCGTTCTGCTTACTGTCGTTTTTCCACATGCCTAAGTTGCATGAAACGGTGTCGTGTGAGTATAGGGATATGGTCGAACCCTTGGTTTTACCCGGGTGTGTGCCGCTCTATGGTAAGGATTTTGTTGATCCTGCTCGAGACCGTCAAGATGAGGCATATCGAGTGTTTCTTTATCAGATCAAGAGGTATGTTTTAGCTGAGGGAATTTTTGAAAACACGTTCTTAGACCTTGAACCGGGTGCTATTCATGCCTTGAAAACCGAGGATCCGAACAGGCCTGAAATTTACCCGGTCGGACCAATCATCAAGTCTGATTTGGGTGGGGAGGCCAACGAGGGGTTAGAGTGTTTGAGTTGGTTGGACCAGCAACCACCAGGTTCGGTTTTGTTTGTTTGTTTTGGGAGTGGAGGGACTTTATCTAATGAGCAGATTAATGAGTTAGCTATTGGGTTAGAAAATAGTGGGCAAAGGTTTTTGTGGGTGGTTAGGGCTCCTAGTAACTCTAGTCAAGATTCATTTTTTACCCAAGGTAGTGACAAAGATGATTCATTTGGTTTCCTCCCAAAGGGATGCTTGGATAGGATCAAGAATCGTGGCCTTTTAGTCCCATCTTGGGCCCCCCAACTAAAGGTTTTGAGCCACAAGTCTACGGGTGGGTTCCTGAGTCATTGTGGGTGGAACTCGACTTTAGAGAGTATCGTCTATGGGCTGCCTATGATTGCTTGGCCACTCTATGCAGAGCAAAGGATGAGCGCCGTGTTGCTTAATGAAGGGATCAAGGTGGCATTACGGCCTAAGGCAAAAGAAAGTGGAGTTGTCGAAGCAGACGAGATAGCTAGAGTTGTCAAGGAGTTGATGGAAGGTGGAGAAGGGAAGAAAGCAAGGGAGAAGATGAAGGAATTGAGTGAATAAGCAAGAAAGACTAGAAGTGAAGATGGTGATTCAACAAGAATTCTTAGCCAAGTAGCTCAGAAATGGAGTCAAAAGTAGGTAAGAGTCTAAAACTTATTGGAGAACATTTTACATATGCAACTTTTGTTTGTTGTTTACCGACGACTCGAGGGCGACGACTACCTTTTACTGTATTTGATAAGGAATAAAGTTGGTTTGTACTGTAATCTGTAACTAGTTTTATTATTAGGGCAATGAGATTTCTTTGTCTGGATGAAATTGAAAAAAGCATTAAATATTGGTTTGTTGTATTACAATCATCCTATTCATATTTGCCATGTGATATGGCGAGTGATACAGTTGGAAATAATGAATATACTCCGTATTTCACATTGAACCAACCCCACCCACATGGAACAATAAAAATGGCTAAAAAAATGCTAATTTTCAAGGGAAACGTAGCTACCCCTACAGGATTGCTACTTTTGCCGGAACTCGGCAAATAAGTTACAGTTGAAAACAACCAATCAACGTATAATTTTATCATAAATTCCTATAATAAAATCAATATACTACATATAATTTATTTTTTTTAAATCATAAGTAATGCTTATTATTAGCCCTTAGGAAAGTACATAATCCATATCTTAATTGTTTTTATATATGAGAAGAAATTATAGATATCAAATTATCGATAAATTGTGAACAAGAAGTAGCTTAGACTCTTACCATATCAGAAAGCACAGACTCCGTACCATCCAATCAAAACCACCCTCACAATAGGCAAGAAGGCAACAGCCATTAATTCAGCAAAAAACCCAGAGTAAAAAATGGGGATAATAGACATTGTAAGGCAGCCATAGGGTAGAGTACTAAAAGACCAGTAGTAGTGTTAAAGGAAGGTGCTGCTGCAAGAATCTTTGCATCCAGCCTAGCCCAGACCTAAAGCCTTGGCAACCCTGCAATGAATCCAGGATCCACCTCCACCATGATAAAGACATACATGACGCTGAGGGTTACACCTTACACGGGGAGGGAGAATGCACCTTCGGAATTCAAGACAATTATAAGGAACATCACGCAGTTAGGCCACGTAATTCAACTCTTGCAAAATATTGAAGAGCACATTAGTTAGCTACTACTGCTAGGAAGTAGTTAAGTGGATTCTCATATCCAAATTGTCTCCCATGATTTGCAAATTGAATTTGTAAAATACCATACCAGGAATGATTAAAGAATTTTAAATACAAAATTGATGACATCTGACATAATTTTAAATACACAATTAGTGACATCTGACATATTTTAAATACAAAATTAGTGACAAATCTGACAATAGAACTGAAAATTTTTAAGTTATCTTCTTTAACTTTATAATAAATGGAATAGCTAAGTTTAATAATTGATCAAGTATATAAGAACTCTTCCTGAAGAGAATACTTACAAAAAGATTAAAGATAGAAATGGAAGGACAGCAGCAACTCCCTCAACCTAGAGTAGTTATACTTCCAAGCTTAGGCATAGGCCATATTATCCCACTTGTTGAATTCGCCAAACTCCTCGTCTCCCATTTCAGCTTCTCTGTCACTCTCTTACTTCCTCCCACTGAAGCTAAACTCTCCTTCCTTGACTCCCTTCCTAAGCTCATCTCCTACTCCTTCCTCCCTCCCCTAAACCCAACTCATATACCTCAAGATGCGACCCAAGACTACACCATCTCCCTCACCCACTTCCACTCTCTCTCCTCCATCCGGTCTGTATTAAGTTCTCTGGTCCAACAAGCCCAGGTTGTTGCCCTTGTAACTGATTTATTTGGCACTGATCTCTTTGATGTTGCAAGGGAGCTTAATATTCCCCCCTATTTGTTTTTCACTTCATCGGCAATGACTTTATTGTTTGCCTTTCATTTGCCAAAGTTAGACACAATGATAGAGTGTGAGTACAGGGATATGCCTGAACCGTTGATTTTGCCTGGGTGTGTGCCACTCCATGGAAAAGACTTCGCGGAGTCCACTCAGAATCGTAAAGATGATAGCTACAGGGTGGTGCTTCATCATATGAAGCAATATATGAGGGCTGAGGGAATATTTGTCAATTCTTTTCTAGATCTGGAGCCGGGTGCTATACATGCTTTCCAAACTGAAGACCCAGATTGGCCTCCAGTTTACCCGATCGGGCCAATAATTCAATCAAGTTCAGGTCTGGTTGAGGATGGAGCAGAGTGCTTGATGTGGTTGGACCAGCAGCCACCCCGATCAGTTGTATTTGTGTAGTTTGGAAGTGGGGGGACTTTGTCGTGTGAGCAATTTAATGAACTGGCCACTGGACTTGAGGGAAGTGGGCATAAGTTCTTATGGGTTGTTAAAAACCCCGACAAGAAGTGCTCTTTAGGGTCAACAATCAGCGCTAGAAAACAAGAAAATCAATATGAGTTCCTACCCAAAGGATTTGTTGAAAGAATTAAGGATCTCGGTCTATTGGTCCCATCTTGGGCGCCACAAATTGAGATATTGAGCCATAAAGCAATAGGAGGATTCTTGACTCATTGTGGATGGAACTCGATTCTTGAAAGCATAGTTCATGGGGTACCCTTAATTGCATGGCCACTCTATGCTGAGCAAAAGATGAATGTGGTTATGTTGACTGAAGGGCTTAAGGTGGCTCTAAGGCCTAATACAAACAAACATGGTCTTGTTGAGGCTGAAGAAATTGTTAAAGTTGTTAAGGATTTAATGGAGGGTGAAGAAGGAAAGATTGCTTACAACAGGATGAAGAAAATAAGTGATTTAGCTAAAAAGGCTACAAGTGAAAATGGGGATTCCATGAAGTTGCTTGGTGAAACCACTCTCACTTGGCGTGTTTTGGATAGGCAAAGTTCATCAAATAGTAACAAAGTCTAAATTCCAAAAAAGAGGTGATAATAGATGAGGTAATAGTGGTACCCTCATTTTACACAACTCCGTACTTCCTCCCCCATTGGCCACTACCACAGCGCACTGCCTCTCATCTCTTTATTTGCCTCCAACCCTAATCCAAACATGCCCATTTATTTTCTTTTTTATTGTATTACCGCTTAGGAGAGATACAAAGAATGACTTGTCAGGCAATGTCTCAACATGTATTAGTTGTTTGAAGTTTGAATTAAATTTACCAATTTTCACAAATTTCATAGTACTAAACAGCTTATTCTAACCCCTTATTTTAAGTTAAACAAGGATTTCACCAAAGGGAGTCCTCATAATCAGTTCATCATCAGCAGTTTCTATGCATCATTCAAAGTAACAGCATCTTAAGAAATTCAATGACAAGTTTGTTCGAACATCTAAAATAGTGTATAACTAATTGACAGCCCTCAAAACCTCCCATTTTCCAGGGCCTCTTATTTCATGTTATTTGGTCCAGTGCTTGGAGTAGAAAAAGGTTTCAATAGAAACTCACATATCAACACAACTCACACAAGATAAGAATGAAACTACGCTTGACTAAGTGTCTACAATAGAACAAAGCACCCCAAAACTTTATGCCTATAAACATGCAAACATCTTACAATCACACAGTGAAAAATAATTACTTCGTAAACATGAGCGAAAAAAAGGAGATGCGATGAAAAGGCAAGGGTAAAACGGCAAAATGATTCAACAAGGCACTTTTCATTTATAATTTTGAAGGGATGACATGTCAAATGATTTCAATAATCACAAAGCAAATCTTATTCGAATATAAAACCACTTCTTAGACGACCAAGCATTTAACCATCAGTCCTAACTCACAAGATAAACTGAAAAACATGAGGAAAAAACTCAGAACATTCTTAGCACAAAACTTACAAAACAGATCTACTGTGATGAAGACTCGTTCTGTTTCTTTGGCACTGGCTTCATGAGAGGATCCTAAATTTACAAAACCATGGATAAGCAAAATAATAACATGAAATGGTCAATCATCATAAACAGTTTATGAAATAAGGATGCTTCAAACATTCCAAGAATTTCATCCACTATATTTAATAAGCATCCAAGAAAACTAGCAAGCTACTCTCCCCTGATCCCACAAAGAGAACCTGAATCTCTAGTCATCTAAAGATCTTAACAAATTAAGTCACCATTATTCTTGAGTAATGTCTCATTGTCTCATACTAGATTAGAGTATTCACAAAGGAATCTGTTTCCTAGCGGTTTCCATAAAAATCAAAAGAATCCTACACATGAAGCAACAAACACTTAACCCCAGTTCTTTTGAGACACAAGAGTATAAGGTGTCATATGTTAGAAAAATAGTTTTTTTTAGTCTAGATCCTATGAATCCGTTAAAACAAAAAAAAGGCCTGGCGAGGGACGGATTAGGCCAGGCCGTGGGAATGGATAAATATCCAAACAATCGTCTGGCTTTAAAGTTAAGAAGATGTCAAACCAATGTTAGAAACCAATCATCCGGAGGACTATTCCTAAAACAATGCTGCCATTGAAAAATGTAAAACTTAACTACCCTAGAAACATCATAACCTACAGAATTGGATACCACACTACCCAAAACCATTATTTGCCTCAGTTAAGCGATAGTTTTAGCTTAAAAGATTCGCAAGAACGAAAAGAAGGCAAACAATAGAGAGCAAACTGAAGTGAATTTGAAACTCTTTATTAATGATTTATGCCGAGGCCAATGCCAACATAGGAAAAACGATGACATCGAAAACCCTCAGCTTAAGTATTTATCTCGAATTCGCCTTAATTATTCAGTCTACTCATCAGTCATCATAGTCAGTTTATTATAATTAAAATGATGTCTAGCTTAACCATCCAACCACAAATAATATAACATCAAGCAGAATCAAAATCAAACCATAATCAAAATCAAAATCAAAACCGAAAGGGAAAGCAAAAGGATTAGGTAGAAGAATGTCGAACCTCGCGAACAAAGAGGAGATTGCCGATGACAACGGCGCCAACAATGCCACTGGTGATCACCGCAGTGCTGGTCAACAGACTCCACTTTCTGTATATCATCTTGTTTCCGAAAATTCTCTTTCTTCTTTCTCCTTTTATATTCATCAAAAAAAAGGAAGAAAAAACATTAATTATGTGATCACCAGAATCTGGAAATACTTACCGAAATTCCCAGAAAAGATTCAAATAGGAGTAAATACTTATTCAACTCAGCACATTCAACTTAAATCTAAATTTGGTAAATTAATTGATTAATTTGATAACAAACGCTAAATTGCTCAACTAAATTGCCAGAAATTGAAATCAAGTAAACCAAAACCTAAATTACACTAATATATAATCAATACAAATGAACATAGCTTAATCTAAAATAATTAGTAGGGGAAATAGAACGGAATAAAGAAATTGAAGAGAAATTACCAGAATATGAAGATGAACGAAAAATTTGGGGGAAATAGAAAACTTTAATCGAAATTCAAGGAAACTCAAAATTGGAGAAGATTTGATGATGGAAGACAGTGAGATTAGGAACGAATCCCATTGACGAAAACTCCAACTCCAACTCCAAATTTACAATTATGGGCTTTGGTTTAGATATTACCCACTTACCCAGGCCTTGGCTTAAACCCAAACTTAGAAATCTATTTCGTAAACATTTTTCCTTTTTTTTTTTTTTTTTTTTTTTTGGAAATAGGGCATAGGCCTGGCAACGGGTCGTTCAGGTCAGGTCATTTCAAGTCGGGTCGCTTTTGGGTTAGTAAATATTCGGGTTGATTTTGGGTTGAGTCTGGTTAATCTGAATCTGCATAAAATCGAAAAATAAAATAGACGGGTAAATTGTTAATAGGAAATGTCATTCTTGGTTTCACTTTTAGTATATAGTTATTGATGATTCTGGACTTATAACAGATTTTAGAACTATATTCAATACTATATCAATTATACACAACAATAGAACGATGGTACTTTGTACATATCACAAAATAAAAATAAAATAGCCCAAAGTCATTAATCCTCTTTGTTTACTCCTATAGTCCTATGTATGATCCTTGATTTAAGAATACTAATTAATCTATCAGTAATAATTTATTTTAGTTGACTTAGCTTATTAACACAAAATAAATTTGCAAGTTGCCCTAAGAAGACATCGTGTAATCGTGTATTATGAATACATATAGCATTGCATAATTAAATGAGAAGACAATTTAACACTAGTGTTTTTTTTTTTTTCCGAACAATTTAATAACACTAAATAGTTGCCTACATTATCACCATAAAATCTAACATTATTCAACCCATTATACATTATTACATACTCATTCCATTTTTTGTTAGTTCAAAACTAACTTAAAACAATGGAACAAAAACAACTAAATGTTGCAATAATCTCAAGTCCTGGGATAGGACATCTGATTTCATTCGTTGAGTTAGCTAAAATCTTAATCTCACGTTTCAACTTCACCATTACACTTATACTACCTTCTAGGGTCAATGATCAACCTAGTGAAGCACAAAGTTCCTTGCTTTCTTCCCTCCCAAATGCCATTTCCTACGTCTACCTCCCTCCAATTGACCTCTCCCACGTAGAGACCGACGACCTCGATGTCGTTATCTCCCTCGTTGTCGTCCACTCAGTTCCGTTTATTCGGGATGCTTTGTCCGCCCTCCCACGCCTTGTCGCGGTTGTTACTGATCTTTTTGGTACCCCGGTGTATGACGTTGCTAGGGAGCTAGGAGTTCCGCCTTACTTGTATTTTTTTACTAATGCTATGTATTTGCTATTTCTTTTTCACTTACCTAAGTTGCATGAAACGGTGTCGTGTGAGTTTCGTGATATGGTTGACCCGGTTATTTTACCCGGGTGCGTACCGATCCATGGTAAAGATTTTGAGGATGGGCTTCAAGACCGTAAGAGTGAGGCTTATTCTTGGATTTTTTACCATCTAAAGAGGTATGGTTTGGTAGAGGGGATTTTGATCAACACTTTTTTGGATCTTGAGCCTGGGGCTATCCGGGGTTTGCAAACCGAGGATCCGAATAGACCCCCGGTTTATCCGATTGGACCGATAGTGAGATCGGGTATGGATATGGGTTGTAAGGTGGGTGGGTTGGAGTGTTTAAGATGGTTGGATCAACAACCATCTAGGTCAGTTTTGTTTGTATCATTTGGGAGTGGGGGGACTTTGTCTTATGACCAACTTAGTGAATTAGCAATTGGGCTGGAGAAAAGTGGGGTGAGGTTTTTGTGGGTTGTTAAAGGCCCAAATGAAGAATCGTCTTTTGGGTCATACTACAATGGCCATGATCAAGATGAATCTTTTGGGTTCTTGCCTAATGGGTTTGTCAATCGGACCAAGGACCGTGGACTTTTAATCTCGTCATGGGCCCCACAAATCGAGGTGCTAAGTCACAAGTCAACGGGTGGGTTTTTGACTCATTGTGGGTGGAACTCGATTTTAGAGAGTGTAATTCATGTTATGCCTTTAATTGCATGGCCCCTCTATGCGGAGCAAAACATGAATGCAACTATACTCGAGGAAGGACTAGAGGTGGCACTAAGGCCTGAGATCAACAAGCATGGTATAGTTGAAGCGGATCGTGTTGCTAAAGTTGTCAAAGAGTTGATGTTAGGTGCAAATGGGAGGAGGATTCGTAATCTAATGAAAGAATTGAGTGATTGTGCTAAAAGAGCTATTAGTGAAACCGGAGATTCCACAAAATCGTTAAACGATGTTGCTTCTGAATGGATGTTGGCAAAGGCCAAGGAATGTTCCAACATATGAATTTGATGCTGTAAGATCTATTTTTGTGATGCGATTCTTCACATATAAACTTATTTTATTACCTTAATATGTCGGAGAGTTTGAGATCAAGTGCTACTAATGTATACTTTGTGGTTCAAATTACTTGCTTTAATTACTTTTTCACAAGTTTTTGTATCCTACTTTTTTCTTTACAGATTTTGATCTCACACTAACCTACAAAGTAAGAATATATAATTTTTCTATTGACTTTATCACGTTTTTACAAAATTATTACTCCTTATGTCTTTATACAAACCTCATTCTTGAGAGTGATGATTAAGGCCTTGTTCGGCAAATGGTTGTTGGCGGTTGACTGGTTCACTTGGCTTGTTTGATCAGCTGAAATGTTTGGTTATTTATAACGGCTTTTGAAATTGGTTGTTTATAAAAGTGTTTGATTTAGTTGTTAGCTGTTCATTAGATAATTTGTGGGCCAACAAGCTAAAAGCCAAAAAATAAAACTACTCATAGCAGCGTTTTCATTTTTTCGCTGAATGCAAAGTCAATTATCAAACACTTGTAAAAATACAGACTCCTATATAGTTTTGCAAATGAGGGCAGTAGAGAAAAAGAAAAAAGAGAGTCGTGTGATGAAAGAGATGGAGATAATTTATTAACTAAAATGAAAATTGATGCATTTAATAAAAAAAACTCCCCCTATTTAAAAATTGATACTCCACTTCTAAAAATGAACGAAGATGGTATTTATCTTGGTAAGAAATAAGGGTATGTTTTCTTCAGCTTCAATCATTTCATTTCATTTCCTAATTTCTTTCTCTCATAAACAATTCATTTCATTTCAATTCAGTTCAACTCAATTCAGTTTAATTCATCATCTCTAATAAAATTAGTTCACCTTAGTTCAATGAATCAGAATAGACCCTAACTTACGTAGTACCAGTATATTTAATTTTATGCATGGTAAAGAGGGAAGTTAGCGGGAGGAAAGGAGGATGATATGAGAAAAACAACACATGGAATATATGCAGGTAGCCAGGATCATCATACACATACGGTCAAGTACACAAAACTACAAAAGACTCCCCCACACCTTCTAGAATCCCTCACATCAGTGTTGTATTGCGTCATTCAAGGATCATCATTACGTCACCTACTCACTTTTGTCTATTGTTGTCAACATACCAAGATGAAACCAAAACTCATATGGACTATCAAATAATTGTTCCCTTAATACTTTAGCTATTTTAATTTCATACAATTCATATGAAACACTTAGGGCCGATTCTCCTACGATTATTTTCACTTCAGTTTAGCTCTTATAAGTTCAGTTTAGTTCAGCTCTAATAAGTTCAGTTCAGTTCATTTCAGCTTAATTTCCTTCTCTTATAAAATATTTATTTCAGTTCAGTTCAGTTCAGTTCATTTCAGTCAATGAGAACAGACCCTAAGCAAATTAAAGTATGCTAAATAAAAGTTTGAATATATACTTTGTATGAGAGTATAGTAGAAACAATGTCCAATTTTATAATCTTAATAAATTTCTATATAACATTATTTATTTTCATTTGGGTTATTTTTGCTATAACTTGGTCAATAAAAAATAAGGTAAAACAATATATTTGCAACATCAAAAAATATGATTCCAATGAACACCGTAGTAAATTGAATTAAATTGGGTGTCCCTTATCTAACTAAACTATAAATATGAATTGAATAGGTAGGGCATGTTCTTTTCAGCTTAATATCAGTTCAGTTTAGTTCATTTCATTTCAGTTCCTAATTTTCTTCTCTCGTAAACACTTCAGTTCAGATCAGCTCAATTCAGTTCAATTCAGCTTGATTCAATTCAGTCCAGTTCAGCACAACTCAGATTAGTAAATCAAAACAGACCCGTAGTCATTAATTTGAATTACTTGCTTCATATCTCAATCACATCCTAGCCTATTTTTAATTATTAATAACATTACATATCAACCATGCATACCTCGATTGAGATAAACCGGTCAACCATGAAACAATCTTATCAACCTTGATGAGAGTTTCAAGTTTAAATTCATCTTACTATTAGGGTCTTTTTAGGGTGGAAATTTCCTCTTTCCTCACATACCTTTATCATCTAAAAGTTTATCATCATAATTTTCATGAGGTTCCAATCTAATAAGTCATCGTCCTCCACACTAAAGACGAGTAAAGGCCTACCAAGTACATTGATATCGGTCTGGCAATTTAGGTGAAGTTTCTCATCTCATAATAATTGGATGTATACAAACTCAAATTGGGTTTGACATATGCTAATTACAACACAAGGCTTACGTAAGAATGACGTCACAATCACGCATAAATTCGCTTTCTATGAGCTTGTTCAAAGAGAGTTCCTTTCATGGTCTCCATCATTGGCCTCTTCAACGACGTCACACATTAATCCAAGCTAGGCGAGTACACCATTTTTGGACAGCAGCCGAATCAATTTTCTAAAGTATATATGGAGGTTGAAAGAATAAAATAAAGTTATTTTAATTAATTATTGACTAATTATTAAAATTATATGATTATAAAAAGCTATCATCTAACGAAATACTTTGCATATTTATATTGGAAAAAAGGATAACCAATCTCAAAAAACAATCTTTGCACATGAACACATCATGATTGAAAATTACATACATTGATGTAAAGTTTTTTTTTGTATATACTTTGCACTTTATACTTTTCTTTATCTATATAAATAAACAAAAAACAGAAAAACATCTTTTATTTAGATTGTTTCAGAAATTCGAGAATATAGACGAGTACGGAGCACAAGACACACAATCTTGATCATGATAATGTTTTTTCAAAGTCCATTTAATACGAGTACATTCCTATTTTTTAAAAAAAGTCTTACCTAGATGTTTATACCCATTTATTGATAAATAATCCTACTATGTTTTATTAAGATGAACAACAAACTTAGCCACTTAGGTTTTTCCAAGTGCTATATTTTAACTTGTATTATAGTATTAAGACACCATTTTTTCTTTTGTAAAAATTACTTGTATAAAAATTGAAATCATAATTATAGCTTGTGAGTAATCAACAACTTGGACTTTTTGCCCTCATAAATAACCCTATTATTGGGTTTCAAATTCGTGACCATAAAGTTACAAGGTGAATTTTTCACCAACTTCACTAAGATTTGCTTGATTTATGCAGAGTATATAGGAAGAACAAAAACGAACAAATGTATGTAATAAATCTTTTTAATTTACATGATTGTGGTGAAATTCAATGTAGATTGAGGAATGAGGTGTAACAAAGTAACTCCTACATTTTTTATTTTTATTTTTGTGTGTGTGTGTTATAAATATAGTTTTTATAATCGGTTTGTTTCCATATTTTATTGATTTTAAATGATATACAAATGATGATCGTGGATATCTTTCCTTTTTAGACTGGATTATTATGTTGAAAGGTTTTTTTTTTTTAAAACGATTTAATACTAATTGTATTTGGTGTAGGTGGAGGAATGAAGTGCCGAAAAGGCGAAAACCTCTCATTAATCTTACATTTCCTTAATATTAACATATTAAGTATACAATAATTCAACCTAATTGATGAATTCTCCTTTCTTTTTGGGTAAAATTCTTGTAGCCATCTCCTTTCAAATGTAAAAATAAAATAAAATAAAAACCCTAAAGCCATCTCAATTATTCATAATATCTCATCTTCTATTTAAAAAATACTAATTCAATTAATCACGTTTATATAAATTCCAACAACTATATACGAATCATTATTTCTCTTTGAATCAACAATAGTGTCCAAAAATATGCAAAATAAAACCCACCGAAATCCTCAATAAATAATAATGGGATATAAGCAACAAATCAACAATATAGTGAACATGATATGTTTCTGTTATGTCACAATTTTGATTATTATACTGTATTTTGACAAGTCCCCATTAACTTATACCAGCATATATGACTTATCTTGTTATAGTCTTACATCCCAACACGCACACCATTAGTCTCGTACCACTGTACTATTACTATTTTATTTTTACCATTTTAAAAATTTATTCTACTACTATTAATAATAACCGTATTTTTTAAAAATTATTAAAATCATAAGCTTTGTTTTCTATAAATAGCACCCTCATAATCTTTTTCTTTCTCAACCACTAAAATTCTACAAAACTTCCCAACATCATAAAACTACAATTATCCCACAAATTATAATCTAAGCTTTCAAAAGTTCATTCTCCTCTTTATTAATTTGTTTCATTCTTTTGTGAATCAACAAATAAAAATGGAATCGCATCAAAATTCACCGCCTCATGTAGTGATCATCCCAACACCTGGGATGGGACACCTAATTCCCTTAGTAGAATTTGCAAAGAGAATTATTCAAATTACTCCTAAGTTACAATTGTCCATAATAATCCCAACTTTAGGGCCGCCAACACAGGCACAAAAGACCGCGTTGGCGGCCCTTCCTCAGGACCGTACCTCCTCCACCTTCCTCCCACCCGTCAATTTAGACGACTTACCTTCCGATGCTAAGATTGAGACTACGTTTAGTCTCACGCTGGCCCGGTCCGTTCCCGCCATTCGGTCTCACCTTAAGGAGTTGTATGATTCGAACCATAACCTCGTCGCCCTCGTTGGCGACCTCTTTGGGACGGACGCCTTCGAGGTGGCACCTGAGTTTGGGATGAAGCCGTATATATTTTTCCCATCTACGGCTATGTGTTTGTCTTTGTTCTTACATCTTCCGGAACTTGATGCTCAAGTTTCATGCGAGTTTAAGGACATGCAAGAACCGGTTTTATTACCCGGTTGTACTCCGGTTCATGGCAAAAATCTATTGGACCCGGTTCAGGATAGACAAAACGATGCGTATAAATGGACACTTCATCATGCTAAGAGGTATAATTTAGCCGAGGGTATTTTTGTAAATTCATTTGACGAGTTGGAAGAGGGGGCTTTGAAATATTTGAAAAACAATGAACCTGGAAGGCCTCCGGTTTACCCTGTTGGACCGTTGATTCAGACCCGGTCGAGTGATGATGAGAAGGTTGACAAGTGTGAGTCTTTGAATTGGTTGGATGAGCAGCCACGTGGATCGGTTTTATTCGTTTCGTTCGGGAGTGGTGGGACCCTTTCGCATAATCAGATAATTGAGTTGGCTAATGGTTTGGAAATGAGTGAGCAAAGATTTTTGTGGGTTCTAAGGAGTCCTAATGAGAAAACTATTAATGCTACGTTTTTTAGTGTTGAAGGTGATCCAAATAACCCTCTAGACTTTTTGCCTAAAGGGTTCTTAGATAGGACCAAGGAGCGGGGCCTAGTTATTCCAATGTGGGCACCGCAAGTTAAAATACTTAGCCACATGGCAACTGGCGGGTTTTTAACTCATTGTGGTTGGAACTCGACTTTAGAGAGCGTGGTGCATGGTGTGCCTTTGATAGCATGGCCATTATACGCCGAGCAAAAGATGAACGCGGTAATGCTGAACGAGGGTATAAAGATCGCGCTAAAGCCTAAAGCCGACGAGAATGGACTAATTGGTCGAGGGGAGATAGCGATGGTTGTGAAAGGTCTAATGGAAGGTGAAGAAGGGAAGAAAATCCGAAATCGAATGAACGAGTTGAAGGAAGCAGCCAATAGAGTGGTTGGAGAAAATGGTTCGTCCACAAAGGCACTTTGTGAAGTGGTTCAAAAGTGGATGTCTCACTAAAACTAAATTCACAATAATTTGCATGAAGAAAACAAGTAAAAAAAGTCCATCCCATACTTTAGTAGTGCGTGTGAATGTACAAACTTTTCTCATCCTTTCTCTGTTAAATTAGGCCCCTTCAATTTGTTGTTTATTATTATTAATTATTATCCTTTTAATTGCCATTAATATTATAATTATGCCAATAGTAGTTCTTCAGTCATAGTCCTAGTGTGTAACAGGGCATGATTGTACAGAGTATTAAATTTGATCAATTATTTTGTTATAAAAATAAATAAATAAATAAACTTTATTCTGGAATTATTTACTCCTTTTTTCTCAATTCGATTCTACCTACTTTTTAAATAAAAATAAAAATAAAAATGGTAGGGAAGTTGTTGAGAATTGGATGCAGATATATGCTACAGATTGGCAAGTGATAAGGCCTGGCCCAAAAATGCAAAATAATAGAGGTAAATGGACCCCATTTTTAACAGGTAAAATTGCATTGGTAACTGTAGAAATTAAAAGTCATTATGCAATAATAATGCAAATATATACAGTACAATGGAATTGGCGTCTGCTACTCTTTTGGCCAATTTCATGGAAATTGCTTGGTTGTTGGAGGCCAAATCTTCAGAAAAATATGCATCAATAGTATACTCCTATGTTACATATTGTAGAAATTGGGATAAAAGTAGTATGTCCATTCAAATGTGTAGAAAAGAGTTTATATACAAACTAAACTCTAGGTTCCTATTAAATTAGGAAAACCAAACAACTAGGGAACTTAAAAGACTCTTAAAAGACTACATATACAAAAAGATTAAACTGAAAAGACTATATATACAAAAACATTAATTTCCTAAAATAAAATATCTCCAATACATATGGATAATGATAGTATCAGTTGGTGTTTGCTTGAGAAAGGTTTGACAACTTCCATCCTACCTTGAATAAAGGGAAAAAAAAGGTGTGAGGAGTTTAGGAAACAAATAATGGTTGTGAACTTGTGATAGATTTATCGTAATTGTCATCCTGTCTTTTTTTTTTTTTTTTTTTTTTTTTTTTTTTTTTTTTTTTTTTTTTTTTTTGGGTGTTTAGAGAGTCACGAGGACGGAGATGAAAATCGATTCTAGGATTTTTTAAATTGGAAGGGGAGATCTAACCACTTGAGCTATCCCCCACTCTCTTATCATCCTGTCATGTGTTTGTACATTGATTAGTAGCAATAAGTCAATAACTATAATATTGAAAATTTATAAATTTTGTGTCTCTTAAGGAATAACGTATTACAGAATGCTTTGTTACTTAAGATCATCTTGCATGTCTTTAATGATCTTAATTGTTATAGTTGTCAAGTAATCCTTCTAAGTAATCAAGTGTTTAATGGCATTAATCTTTCCTGAAACTTGGCTTAGATTAACGTTAATTAACTCTGAGGAAGTGCTCTGTTGAAATATTGAATTGAAATGGAGTATGTTTGAAAAGAAGTGGAGTATATGTGAACATGGAGTATTTTATTACAAGTATTTCTATCAAAACTCAAGCGTTCATGTGAATATGTGGAAATAGCATGGAAAAAGCCACTGTATATATTGATTTTTAATTATTTACTTTTGTTATGTTTAGGGGTATCTCGTAAATGTCCTAGTTTATGCACTTCTATAAGCTTTGTTCACAATTTCACATCTAGAAAGAGTAGACTTTGAACACCAACAAAATTTGTGCTACATATCTGATGTATACATATGGACTATGAGTTGGGTTCGTACTTGGTACACATATGGGCTGCCTGTGAATAATTGAGCTTGGCCACGTATGTGATGCATACCAACTTACCAAGTATATTGAAACTATTATATAAATATATACTCGTAGACTCGTAGTGCTTAGTTTCCTTGCTTCTTAGGGATGATATTGTAACTTCAGATTAGCTGGATAAGGTAAAATAAGTAAGATGAAGAGAATACACGGTAACTTCTAGTGGCCTGGAAGAAATATTAAACATGTACTACATCTTTCCTCTTCTCTCTAATTAGAAGTTAATGAACAAAGCAAGCTTTTGTATTCATATTAGGTGGACATATGAATATTAAACATACATGATGTATCATCGCGATAATTATTTATATTAACTCAAGACTCATTCGGACTCAGAATTTAACATTGCATGACAATACAAAGGAGTTACTGATGCTAGCGTATAATATGACCCCAACTTTGATGATATACTCCCTCCGTTTTTAAATACTTGCTCCATTTCTTTTGGACACGCATGTCGATGCTAATATTTGATCACTAATATTTTTAATTACCAATAAGTATAAATTCTAACAATTGAAAATTAATAATCTATTCATTGATATGATTCCAACAAGTACCCGCAAGACTATATTTTTTCTTTTGTATAAATCATAAACATTAGTCAAAGTAGGACCAATGAATAGTGCAAAAAATAGAAATGGAGCAAAAATTTAAAAACGGAGGGAGTATAGCATAGTCCGCACTCCGCAGTGGATGGTGGGGACTGGTGAGGCCAATATTCGTGAGTATGTGACGCATCCATCGTGTTAGATGGGCCTTTCTCGAGTACCTCTAGGTTCTAACACCACACCTTTTGGAATACTACCCTTTTCTAAACTCTTTAAATTTTTGCATGATAATTTTGTCATTTACGATTCTACGGAGTAAATTTTTGGAATACTACACTAAGACATTTCTAGGCTTATAGTTCTAGTATTTGTCATCTACGATTGTACGGAGTAAATTTTCATCATCCTAAGGTGGCATTAGAAGATAAAATTGACTAATCCTAACTCAAATGATTATTACTATATCAAAAATGTGGTGTGAGTTATAATGATAATTCAACTAAACCATCATTAGCAATGGACATTTACCTACCATGACCATCTAGTATTTCATAACAAGCCAATTTATGATGCCATAATTTCTTTTTACTAAGGTAGTAGAGTTGATGTTTCTAGAATATTACCACCCTTTTTGGACAAAAGGCCTGTAGAAAAACATAACCAAGTATTTGTATTTTTGGAGAAGTGTTCTTAAATTGACTATCATATCTTTAGAGATAGATAAATCTATATACAAAGTATGTATCTCAATATCTCACACTTACACAACTAACTTACAAGTTACAAGTACATGATATCATATACCGTTGTACATGTGTTAGAGATATGTGTTATCGGAAAATATATGTGTGATACCATGACAGGAGGAAAAAAAAAAAGAGTAAAAGAGATGTCCTCTACCTCTCTACTACGTGACCTAGTTTGAGGTTATAATCGAAAGTCCACTAGATATTTCTTTCCGTACATAATTAGTACTTATAGTATTGCCCAAACTAAAAAAGCTTTGGGCAGTTGGTTGTAGAATTAACAGAATAATTAGGATTGTAAATGGAAGAAAGCAATAGATATTGCAAAGTTTGTGTTACCGGTGGTTCTGGATTTATTGGTTCATGTCTCCTTAAAATGCTCTTAAATAAAGGCATTTACTATGTTCATGCCACTCTCAGAAACTTGGGTTAGTTCTACTCTTAACTAAATTACTACTTTTAATTTTTTAGTAACAATGTAACATAGTTGGTTCTCATATTTGTAATTTCGCTTTGCATCAAATAAAATAAATTGTAATTTCGTATTTGTTATGTCATTTTAATCATTCCCTTTACCCTCTAATTGAACAAACACGCGACAGCACCAAAGTGAACCGTTTAAAGGGGTTAGAAGGAGCGGAAACACGACTGCGATTGTTTGAAGCAGACATATATAATCCTCAACAATTTGAAGAGGCCATTAAAGATTGCCAATTTGTGTTCCATGTTGCAACACCTTTTATCAACACTCAACAATCTCAAGTTTGTCTTCCTCTCATTTTATTCCTATTATTATTTATTATTATAGAAAAATAACAAAAATCTATAAAGTCAATTAATTTACAAGAAAATTAACGTGGAGTTGAAATACAAAGTCAATCAATTTATAAAAAATTATTATTATTATAATATTTTTTTAGCAATCACTTTACTTTTCTAGCTTTTTGGGCTCATGATTGATGAAATGTTACCCCACAAAAAAGTTTGATTTGAAGGATTCATGAAATGTTATTCCACTATTGATTTATTAGTACTTGATGAGTCTAAATTATTATATTATTTGCTAACTGTTTTATATTATTTGCAACGATTTCATGAGATTAATAATTTTGATAACCTGATTTTACATGAAAAGTACAAGGATTTAACCGAGGCAGCATTAGCTGGAGTAAAGAGCATTATCATGTCCTGCATAAGATCAGGCACCGTGAAGCGACTCGTCTATACCGCCACTGTGATGGCTGCATCACCTCTCAAAGACGACGCGAGTGGTTTTAAGGATATCATGGATGAAAGCTGCTGGACTCCGATACATCATCCTTTTGTTAATTCTTTACCACTTAAGGTACACAAACGTAATGTAACTCACTAATTAATGCGAGCTGAGCAGAAGTTTTGTGTAGTATTCCGTACTAATTGCTGTATGTAACTGATTTTTCAGGACTATGTAATCTCAAAAACAGAATCAGAGAAAGCAGCCTTGAAATTTGGAGAAGACGGCGATTTGGAGATAGTAACCCTGGCTTGTGGGTTAGTAGGAGGGAAGACTACACTTTCCTTCACGAATCTTCCCACTGTAATGGTTATGATATCTCCGCTAACAGGTATCGAGTTTCACTATATAAGACGTTGAAAGAACTAGATGTTTTGTGTGGGAAGATCCCTATCATACATCTTGAAGATGCTTGTGAAGCACACATTTTCTGTATCGAGAATGATTCAATCAAAGGCAGGTTCTTATGTGCTAGTGACTATGTTTCTGCTGCTGAAATCGCCGAGTGTCTTCAGCAAACTCACCCTGAATTGAATGTTAAACCAATGTAAGCTAAGCAAGATTTAGTCTTCAATTCTATAGAGTGATAATTATTAAGATTCTACAACGATTATTGTAGGTATATGGAAGGACCAAAGAGGGCTGTAAAGTGGGGATCAACAAAGCTAATTGATCAGGGTTTCGAGTATAAGCATGACTTGAAGATGATATTAGATGATAGTGTGAAATTCTGGAGGAAATTAGATGGATCATTGTAGATAGTACGTTGATGTGTGGATCTAAACCGTGATTTCCCAAATCTGAACTCGGTTATAAGAAGAGCACAAAAGTTGTTTAAGTTCAGAATCAAAGCATGGATGTTCATGTTTAGTTCCTACATGTACATCTGGTAGAACAACACTGTATAAATTTGGAATCTGTTGGTTTTTTGATTTGTGCAATTTAGAGTACTTAGAATTCTATAATAATCTTTGCTCCTTGAAATTTTATATTTAAAACAAATTTGAGTCATATATTGGTTGTGCAAATTCTGTCAAATATTGGATCCACCTTAGAAATGTCATAAAATGTGTAAATATTGGATTCATAATGCACGTCCCTTATATTGTGATCGAGTTTTGTTAATTTAATTCATTATTTCAATAGGGCACTAGTGGGTGTGTAATATTTGGACCGACTTATAAGGAGTACCTCAAACGCTATATGTAAGTACTACATAAAATTTGTAATTTATAAGAAATAAAGAATACACTTCAAAATATGTAGAGAGATCTTATTCATCTAATCGTCTCTAGATTTTGACACAAATTTGTTAACCTATAAAATTCCCTATTATTATTTTACAACATAAAATCTCTAGTCCTATGCTACAACACCTCAACAATCTTCACAATGCAATATGAAAAACACGAAGGGTGTTGAATTTCTTGAGGTGCAAAAAAAAGTAATAGCAAACAAAATAAACTATGTATATATAAAAACACTAGTAATTAATTCATCACTAAGCAAACTTCCTACCATTTTGGTAGTGGTGAGTAGGATTGAAAGGACAAATGATAGTTTATTTAATTAAAGCTCAAAAGGAAAGTTGCCATTAAAATCTAGCAAGTCATCAATAGGGAACTCAAAGTCACCTATCACTGGTGAATTTGAGACCGAGTTTGGGCCCGAAACACCTTCATTGTTTTCGGTTTCCGATGTTTGCACGGTAAGTCCAATGTGGGAATTGGTAGGCCGGTAGGGTGACACCGGAATATAGTTCGACTCCGAGGTTGTTGGTGATCCAAAAGCAGGGCTGAAGCTTAACATGTAGTTCTCATTAGGATCATCAGTTTGTAGGTGAGTTGAGGTGAATGAGAATGAACGAAATATTTGGGCGTAGTTAACGGGCTCCTGCTCAGGCTCTACTTTAAGGTCACCTTCTGGGCTTAGGCCCACATAAATTTCATTTTGATTTGGGCTTGGAAGTGGTTGTGGTTCTGTTTTCAAATTAATCAATTGGGCTGGAATCATGGGTTGGAATTGGGCCTTGGATTGGGCCTGAACTAGCTGGGCCCCTTTGGCACAAGTGTGTTCACCTCTGTACATGATTTGGTAAATGGACGGGTCTTCATCGGACCGTTGGACTTGCTTCGTGGCGGCGCAACCTTTGGTGTGGCGATGAGTGCATCTATAATATCCCCTACATAATTTAACATATTTGCAATTTAGTCACAAGAATAAATTAATTCCGGTTGAACTTATATAAACTTTATACAAATCTTTCTTCGTTTCAATTTTATTTCCTGACATTACACTACATGTTTTATTAACCTTAATCTAGAACAAAGTAAGTTTAAGAATTCTAGTATGAAAACGTCGAAATGATAAAAGTGGTAGAAACTATTCCTAAAAGGTGAAAACGTGGAAGTAATAAAAAAAAAAAAAAATTCAAATTTGGACAACACGATAAGTGGATGATGATCAAATGCGTAAGTAAAGTGGTAAAAAGCAATGTCATGCAAGCAAATTTGTATTGTCACTAGTCCCACAATTAACCACTATCTAGGATTAGCATAGTACTCCTTAATTATGAATATAAAATACAGCCGTCCAAAATATAATGTCACCCAAAATATGATAAGTAGGATTGTCGGATTGTCTAAATTGAAGTTCACCAAACCTAATCTCAACAAGATACATAAGTACTAAATAAAGTTAAAGTAAGAATTCCAGCTTATAAAATTTTATTTTTATTCGCTTCATCTTACTCAATTCTGCATATTTTTCTCAGCAATATTTATTTTTGTCTTTTTAAAAAGTTGGATTAATTACCTCATTTTTTTTAATTTTTTTTTTCTGGGTAGTTTCCTGGAAAAATATTAATGTATTTGCGGGCATTGTGGGCCCCTTTTCAAGAGTGCCATGTATACTTACTTTAATGATTTAAAGGTGATTTTGGGTGCTTTCTAAAACTCAAATCCAAGAACTCTCAGACAAACAACTTGCAGTTAGTGACAAATAAGCATCAACCATTCAACCAGTCCTAAATCATAGATCCATAGGACCTTTTTACAACACATTAGTCAATTTTTTTTTAAGTATACAAAACGATTTTTTTGGTGATTGTAATTGATGTCTAAATATTCAATATTATCTTTATCTTGCATATTCTCCCACCCATTCATTATTGACGGTTTTACATTACTAATTAACATATACGGAGTATTTCTTTGATTATGTGTAACTATTTATAAATAAACTTAATCATATGAGATTTTGAAAGGTAAAATGCTTTTTTTTTTTTTTTTTTTTTTTCCCGCAAAGAACGCAAAATTTGCAAACTCATGTGATTTTTATAATCAAAACTAATATTTACCAAAATCGGGCGTAATATCTTCACTTGTATATTATCATATGTAATAGACATTTCATTTACATTGTACATAAAAATAGTATATTATCAACGAAACTATCAAGTGGGTAATACATGCAATAATTGTTTTACCCAAAGTGGGAAACACAAACTTTAACAAAGTCCCCTCAAAATTTAAGAAAAAGGTTTTTTTTTTTTTTTTTTAATTTGGATAATGCATTAATACAAAAAAACCCACGTGATATATATCCCATTCAATATCTTTCTTAAGCAAAGTAGCACTATCAAACAAACAACAACGCAACGATAATAATAGTACGATAGATATTCTTTCATTTGTAACTAAGGCCATAATTAATTCTTCATGAATTAATTTCTTACCTTGGAAATTTAGCTCGAAGAATTTCTTTTTGCCCATATTTTCTCCAACTATATCCATCTTCAAGTGCTCCCTCTAAGCCTTTCACTCCTTCATTGCCAATTTGGACAGTCTTTGTCCACTTTGGCATCATTGATTTCCTACAGTAGAAACATTACCTTAAATTAGTCCGGTCTACAGAATAAATAAAATTATTTACGAAATAACAAATTACATAAATTTTTTAAAAAAAAAAACCGTGCCAGATCAATTTGAGAACAATTATTATTACCTCTTTTTTGAAGGAGAAAAATCGTTGTGAGAAGTTTCACTTTTCGGGCTACTAATGGCTAAAGAATGAGAAGATTCCGAAAAATGGGCATATCTATGATTAAGATTATTAGTAGAAGGGTCTTGAGGGATTTGAATGTTGAGTTTTTTGGCAATTGTGATGGTTTTATCAAATGATGACAACATTTTTTCAAGTAATGAATTATTAAGGGCTACTTGATCACTATTATAATCATCATTTGAAGATGAAGATGAAGATGAATTATTTGTTGGGTTCAAAATTTGGCTTCGCAACTGTTTTGCGAATTCCATTCCTTGAAGTAGCTCATTAATCAAATGAGCTCTTCTATCAAAACCCTTCACTTCTTCCATCTCAAATCAATACCCTTAGCTTTCGAAAACACGAAAATGGAACCTTTTTTTTTATAACCTATAATAAAAGGAGAGTTTATTGATAAATTAAGAAGAGTTTAAAATGAATGTATTTTGCTAGAAAAAGATTGTAAAGAAGGAATGAGCATATTTCACAAACATATAAGTAAAATTAAATAATCTATTTGATGAATAAGTTACAAGGGAAAGACAAAATTTATAGTATAGAAAAATATATAAAAGTGTTATAACTTGGATTTGATGATGTGTTGTTCAAGGAAATGCACAAGAAATTTCAAAGAAAAACTTAAGATTTGAGGGAACTTTAAAATTATAAAACAAAAAAAAATGAGCACAAGAAAGAAGAAAAGAGTGGGAGAAGTGTGGATACAATGAGTGAGGAGAGAGAAAGAGAGAATTGAAATTGGTGTGAGTTTAAGCGAAAGTGGGAGGGGTTGAAAGGAGAGATGGAGTAGAGAAGATATATAGGGGAGGAGAGAGAAAGAGGAGAAGGAGAAAGGTGGTTTTTGACTAACAAAACGAGTGGTTTTGTCACTTGTCATTAATATAAATTAGAATCATAAGTATACTTTTCATTCAATCACGATCGTTAGAGAATTGGTAAATACGTACGGACGACTAGTATACCACCTTTCTATACTTATAAGGTTGTATTGATAATAATACAAAGTAATGACTTAAATATAGCTACACTTATCAATTCAAATACGCGGTATGGAGTATGAAAAAAGTACGAATTCGCTAAGAGTAATTTTAATGGTATATGTATATGGGTTCATCTTTTGGTTATCTTTCATGTTATATCACAAAAGATTTATTATTATAAATTGACAACATCGACAATGGAATTGAAGGTGTAACACCTCTAATTAAACAGCGGAATATAGACAATGATTAGTGTGATAATCCAATGAATGATTTCTGAGACAGTAATGAGACCTTATAATGTTGAGTTAGTAACGTAATTTGAACATATGTCTTGTAATTTGCTACAGAGATTTTCAAAATAGTTGTATAATAGAACCAAACTCGTCATAGAGCCTTTATAAACCTAGCCTGTTATATTGGTAGTATGTTATCATTCCAAACCAATTTTTATGACCTCGGGAGGTATTCTGACATGCACTTTGATCGATCTTGGAAGAAATCCTAAAATTAATATGAAATCGTGCACTGAATTATTTTATTTTGGAAAATTTATACTTTTTCGGACAAGAAAATAATAGAGTATGATGATGTCCAACCCAAAGATCCCATGAGACTCATCAAGAGACCAATTGGATGGTTAGAATCATTTAATTGCCTCTTAAATATAAATTAAACCCATTATAGACATGCCTCGATCCCGGTCATTGACTCATGACCACCACGGACCTTTATGTGATTAACTAGTGATAGCTTATGGTTCAGTGGTTCCAAATAATCTTTTATGACCTTATGATTCACCTCTTATCATTACTTGAAATTTCAACAGTGAATCTCATAATCTTCGAAAATGCTCTAATTTTGTGTGTTATAGCCTTTAGTTTAGTATCCATAAAACCTTTAATTTTAAGACTCGTCAAGGTTAGGCATCAAGGTTTTCTCAAGCCTCCCAATATGGTCCCTGAATTTATCTAATTCATGCATGGACTCATGTCTTCGCAACGAACCCTCTAATCATGTCTTGAGTTGCCTACATACCTTAGTCATATTTTGCCTCGGTTCATTCTATGAGTTGCCTACCTTGGTAATTTTTTTTTGCCTTGGTTCATTCTTATGTGTCTTGTCTTTCCAAAAACGGTTATTAAGACAAGCTAATTTTTATAACTTGTATGTCCGTGGCTCATGCCTTGCCTAAGCCTAACTTCAAATGCAAAATTCCCTATCAATCAACCTAAAACTAGCCACTTATCTTGCTCAATTCTTATGGGTAATAGAAATGTAAACGTGACTTATAATAAATTAAGATATACTCAATTGAGTCAATTCATCACGCAACTTAAATTAGAGTGAAATTTAGAATTATCAATTGTGAGGGAATGTATGTATCATGCAATGTTTTTATGATAAGCTCATTTATTCAAATCAACATTTGGAATGTTGATTTTTCCTATTTAACCTTTTTGAAGATATGATATGAGAAAAACATAGAAAGATGAAAAGGATGTTTTACTACCAATAATACTGTTAACTTATTAAGAGTAGATGATTTATATAGATATCTAGTCAGTGTAATCTAGAAGCCAATTAACCTCGAAAAAGACCTAATAATTGTTAAACATGTTCATGAATACTTCCTCATCAGTTTTGTTTTTATATGCACCAATTTAATTTTTACATTTTTCGCATGCTCCACTTTGTTCGATTATTATATTAATTTATAATTAAGAAAAAAATAGTCATGTGGAATTTTGTTAAATTTACAATTTTATAAGTTTATATGTATTGGTCACTAAAGATATTTGACAAAATAAAATGAGAAGTGTTGCAAATAAAAAGTAACAAAGGAAATAAAGATTTTGAAATATTTCAATCTCTAAAGAAAAATTTCTATTTAACACCTCTTGAAAATTTTCTATTAGGCAAAACAACTTTTAGAAATTACATCAGCATATTTCGTATTTATTTTTAAAAGCTAAGAAAAATCATTACAATTGCAATTTTACAATATTCAAATAAACTGATTGATTTACCCTGTCTTTTTTAGCTCAAATGACCACTTATGTAGGCATATTTTATTAGAATACGTACAAAGTATCTCAGTTATTTTTCCTCTAATTTTTGTTATAGGCATAATAATCCTCATTATGTTGATGGTTTTAGTCATAGAAATAATAATTGTAAGTACAGTACAAATAATACGTCTTAGTAAAAAAATTTGTATAGAAAACTACTTCATTTTGATCATTGTTTGTATAATGGACTAATAGAGTAATATACACGTACATAATGAAATGAATTAATAGTCTAATAGTATCAAGAGACAAAATCAACACGGTTTGGGTTTTTTAGTTATTATTATTTTTTAATTTAAATAAAAAAAATCTATTTGTAAACCATAGTTAGTTAGTTACTCTACTAGACAAGTATAGTGGAGTACTATTTAGTTAATTCCATCTGACATTCCTATATAACAACTTAACAAGTAACAACTCAAAAATCTTTCAAAAAAAAAAAAAAAAAAAAATTAAAAATCTCAACCTTTGAAAGACAAAAGACAAAACGAGATATGTGGGACTCATTCACTCTTTTCTTGGTAAGCATTGGCTTGGTAGTTTGATTTTTGTCAATTCAAACTTTCAAAGATTCGTCACTTATAAAACAACAAATTAGAGCAAGAGAACAAAACTTCACTTATATTTATTGTCCAAATGATATTAATATTATAAATATTAATCTATTTTGTAACTAAAATAATATAATCCTAGTTGCCTTTTGATGAGTTATAGCCATATAATTCTTTTTAAAACCAATTGATGATTTGATGATATAATAATAATAATCAAAATTATAGTTTTTTTGTTGAGTATAAAATGTTATCTTAGTTTTATTAAACATTATATAATACATTTTCATGAAAAAATATATAATATAAACGGTAATTCTCTTTTTAAATAACTCCTACGTGTCAACACATAATCATGAACTCGTGACTAAGCATTAAGCAATAAGTATATAAGGCAAAATGATTGATAATTCAACAATAACTATATAGAGAATATATGACCAAATTAAAGTTGTTTACTACCTTCCATCCATTTTTATTTAGGTGCACTTTCTCCCGACACAATAATTTAGAAGAAATTTGCGGTAAACATGAAGGGTTATAAGCAAAGAAGATTACATGAATCAAGGCAAATGAGAATTGGTTATCCTCATTTGATAAAAATTAAAATTACTAATAAGCTAGTAAAATATCAAACGCAGCTCCTTACTTTTATTTTGAGGAAAAGCAAAAAAAACCTTCATTAATTAAGGGACAAATTGTCCTTTAGTATATATGGACCTACATCATGAGGACAATGATTAATCAAACTTGATTAAAACCAAAAGTCACTGAACAGACTAAGGGCAATATTCACAATTACTGAACTAAGCTGGATTGAAATGAATAGAAATGAAATGAATATTTTATGAGAGAAGGAAATTAGGAGTTGAACTGAACTGAACTGCATAAAGCTGAAGTGAACAAGCTGTAAACGATGAGTTAATTACGTATGGATCAAATACCATACTTAATAAGCAATTCCGATCTATTTTACAGAAATGGTACAACTTTTATAAAGACGGCGTAAATTATTCGTTAGGGGCATCATCAAATGGTTCATAATACAATACCTTTAGTCATTTATTCATGACCATAAATACTAAAGATAGAAAACACAATTAAAAAGTGAGATAGTACTCCAAATAATAATTAACAATAAATAGTCCAAATTAAATGAAGAATTGGCGTGGAAAGTCAAAAAATGAAGATGAGAAGGAAGAAAGAATCTTCAAACTTCAAACTCCATTTCCGCGTTTCTTCATTTCATTCGAAAAGTTGCTATCTATTATAGTTAAAAGTGATGGACATTTATAGAGACATCAATAATTAATTAATTTAATGAACGAACTAATTGAAAAAAAATTAAATAAATTATTGTTTAATTTATGGAGGGAAGAAGAAGAAAATGAGAGTGACGTAGACGATTAAATCGTCAGACAATTACCCTCCACTTACGTTTGGGTCCATTAACCTATTATATATTATATATTTATATATATTCATCACCATACATATCATACTTATAAAGTACACTTCTTTATAATTTTTTTTTTTAATTTTTTTTTATTGAAGGATAGCTCTTAAGTACACTCATACTACGAATATTGGTGCATGTAATTCTTTATTTTCTTAAAAAAAAAAAATTACTTCCTCCGTTTTCTTACTTGTATATAGTTTATATAGTTTTTATAAATAACAGTTCAAATCAAACATAACATTATTTTGATGATAAATATATAAGAAAAAGCATATATTTCGTATATTTGTTCTTTCAAAAAAAAAAAAAAATATTTTGTATATATGTAAGAACATTTGAAAACACATACAATTGATTTATTTTAAAAGTCAATCTAAAGAAAATGCAGTAAAAAAATATGAAGATAAAATATTATACTTTTGTTTGTTTTGACAACATGCATTCTTATATAAAGATGCCGAATTTTCAGTTTTGTACATTTGATTTATTAAGGGTGAATTTTTTCTAAAATTGCAAAATAGATGCCTTAAGACTAGAAATTTATTCCACATTTATCTAAGCTTCTAACAATAATTCTTTGTCTGATCGTGCGAAACAATATTTGTAAAAGTGTTGAACAATAAGGAGCATACAAATACACAAAGCGTAAAGTACAAAGGCACAACGAAGTATAAATAATCTTCAACGAGTTGAAATACACTTGAATATAATTTTGAATTTTCTGTTTTTAGGATAACATTTCCAAAAATACGCACCAACTAGGCCACAATGATCTTATTAATTTTTTTTAATTTTACTTTTATGCTTAATCCAT